CCGGGGGCAGCTCCTGGGTTTGGGCCCTTGGCTCTCGCCGTTGGGCTGGTGGCGAGGGGGCTGCTGCCGAGCGCGGCGGGGGCTGCGCAGCGGCTGCGGGAGGGGCAGAGGGCACTGAGACTCCTCGCCGGGGCGGTGCCGGGGGGGGCTCGTGGGCCACCCCGCAGCACTTGCAGGTGCTGATGTTAGCGGTCGCAATCGCGAATAGAACTTATCTACACCCAGCAGATAAGCAGGCACTTCTTTATTGCAGCGCTGGGGAACACGGGGGATAGCTCCGCCAAAGACGTGTTCGTCGATAGGTACGAAGCACAACATATTTATACACTTTTTCAGCAGAGTCATAGTTACATAAGATCAATAATTCCATAACGTTTAAGCTGACCTTTATAATGATTGGCTTTTAGTTACCTCTCCCTACCTATATTCCTATTCTACAGAAATCATTGGTCATCCTCACTAATTGATTTAAATAGAATGGGGGGAGGGCAATGATTAGGATATTCATGTTATTTCTTGGAAATTATTATCATATGCAAATGTCTCCGACGCATGCGTGGTTATACTGGATGGGGGTCTCTGGTGGTCGTTGATAGTCTTCATCACTGTGTCTGCTGATTGAACTCCATCCTTGCGCGTGCTCATTCCACCTTTGGTTAATGTTCACCTCTCCCTTGCCCAATCTTTCCAACCAAACCAGTTTTCCTCAGGTACCTATTGTTTCAAGTCAAGATCCATAACCAGTACCCATTGCGTTAATTCAGAGCCCATGACGATTCTTACAATGTTCAAAGCACACAGCATACTAGTTGCTTAATCCTAAGGGCCTTAGTGTACCTTATATTTTCAGAGCTACTGTAGCTTCATGTTAAATCAAAATCATACTTTTAAACTAAAATCAAAATAATATTCTAGGATTCAAACTATTTCATTCCGGTAGCTGCAACGCGGAGGGTCTCCCCTGGCTGGGCGGGAGGTTAGCCCAAGGCCTGCTTTTACGCTGCTGTTCTCTCCGGTGAGCCCGGCGCTGCCCCCCGCGCCGCTTCCCTGCCGGCTCCGGGCACCCATCCCTCCGGCTCTGCGGGACCCAGCTCCGCTCCCCGCCAGCGCCGGGGCGGGCCCGGCTCCGCTCGCCGGCGGCGGGTGCCGGCGTGGGGCGGGGCGGCAGCGGGGGGCGCGGGGGCCGGGCCTGCGGTGAGGGGCGGGCGCTGCCGGGCCCCGCTGGCCGCGCCGCCGCCCGCGCCATGGCCCCGCCGCCCGCCGCGCTGCTGCTGCCGGCCCTGGCCGCCCTCCTGGCCGCGCCCGCCGCCGCCCGCGCCCCGCCGCGCAGCATCGGTAGGAGCGGGGATGGAGGGGGGTACGGGGCGGGGAGGGGGGCACCCAGCCCGGGTACCGGCAGCACCCGGCCTCCTGCCTGCCTGCGGGGGGGGGGGGCGGGGGGGGGGAGCTCCGGTACCGCGCCGCGGCGGGAGATAGGCTGCGATGCACCCCCGCTCCATCCCCGCCATCGCACGCAGCGCTGGCCCCTTCCCCCCCCCCCCCGCATCCCCCCCCCCTCCCCGGGAGCCCGGGCGGGGGGCAGCGGTGCCCCGCTGCTCTCTCGGGGTGCGCTGCTGACCCGGCCGCCCTCGCCCCTCTCCGCCGGCAGCCGTGGTGGGCGCCGGGCTGGGTGGCTCGGCCGTCGCCTACTTCTTGCAGCAGCACTTCGGGCCGCAGGTGCAGCTGGACGTGTACGAGGCGGGGGGCGTGGGGGGGCGGCTGGCCACCGTCACCGTCAACAAGCAGCAGTACGAGAGCAGGGGAGCCTCCATCCATGCCCTCAGCCTCCACATGCAGGACTTCGTCAAGATCCTGGGTGAGCACGTGCGTCCCAGCACTCGCGTGGCCTCCTTCCCCCAGCTGGGGGGCTGGCGTGCCCCTGGGCTGTGGGCTTGGGGCAGTGGGGAAAGCTGCTTCCAGTCCACATCGACACCCCAAGTACGGGGCGACCCCCTCACTGTCCCTGCGCCCCCAACCCTGTTGTGCCCTGAAAGAGAAAGGGATGGGGTGGCCCAGCAGAGCGTCAGGGTAAGGGGTCGTGGTGGAATTAGTGTGGGGGGGGGTTTGTTCACAAAATCTCACCAGTTTGTCCCAGTAGGCAGCAGCAGCAGCTCCGTGGGATGCCCCAGCTTATAGGATCCGGCTGGGGTCTCAGTGCCCTGGGGTCTCACACTCCCTGACGCTCCTCCAAGAGCATCTTTTCCCACATCCCCACTGCGGTGGTGTTTGGCAGTGGCCTTTCCCAGCTGGCCAGCCCCAGGGAGACGTGCGAGCCCAGCAGGGCCGGGGCCCCTCTGCTCCCTGCAGGCCTCAAGCACCGGCGCGAGGTGGCCGGGAAGAGCGCCATATTCAGCGGGGAGCACTTTGTCCTGGAGGAGACCGACTGGTACCTGCTCAACCTCTTCCGGCTCTGGTGGCACTATGGCATCAGCTTCCTGCGCCTGCAGATGTGGGTGGAAGAGGTGATGGAGAAGTTCATGAGGTGGGAGAGCCCAGAGGGCGAGTTGGGGGGATGCAAGGGGGGTCTTCCTCGGCACCGGGGCATCACCCGTGCTCCCGTCCCCTCCAGGATCTACAAGTACCAGGCACACGGCTATGCCTTCTCCAGCCTGGAGGAGCTGCTGCGCTCACTGGGGGGTGACGCCTTCGTCAACATGACGCAGCGGTCGGTGGCCGAGTCCTTGCTGGAGGTGGGCGTCACACAGCGCTTCGTGGACGACGTCATCGCGGCCGTCCTGCGTTCCAGCTACGGGCAGTCGGTGCTGGTGCCTGCCTTCGCAGGTGAAACCGGGGTCCCCCTCTCCTCCCCGTGGGACCCTCCTTCCCAGCATCCCCTCCACGGGCAGGCTGTTGAGCCGCCCCTCCTCTTCCTCTCCCCAGGAGCCATGTCGCTGGCAGGGGCCCAGGGCAGCACCTGGGCGGTGGAAGGAGGCAACAAGCTGGTGTGTTCAGGTCTGCTGAAGCTGACCAAAGCCAACGTCATCCCGGCCAGGGTGACGGGCGTCTCTCTGCACAGCTCAGGTGAGCCTGGGCACGGGGTCTGCTCTGGGTGCCACCGGCCTGAGTGTAGGTCTGGGTGCACCCGCGCGGGAGGCTGGTGGTGGCAGCACGGCGATGCTGGTGTAGAGACGGAGCGGTGGGAGGCTGGAGAGCATCCTGGTCCTGGTAAAGCATTTGGGTGAGGGCCCAGGGGTCTGTCCGTCTCCTCCCCTTGTCTGATCCAGTGGGTGCCCTGCAGTACAGTTCCCTCCTGAGGTCCCACAGGTCTCTTCTATGGCACCATCCTCGTTAGAGGCTCCCCCACTCGCCACAGCAGAAGGTCTGGATACCTGGGGTTTGGGGGGTGGGCTGTGCTGTCCCAGTCCTCCTGGCCCTGCTAGGCTGGGCTTCTCCGGAAACTTTCTCCCACCAGCTTGCTAAAATCTTATTTCCACTGCCCTAAAGCATCAGCAACTCATCCATAACCATCAGATACTATGGTCCAGCACCGGTGTGTACTGGAAAAGCGGGGGGTGGAGGCCATGGTAGAAAAAAAGAGGACAGGGCAATACCACCTGAGGCTCAGGGCTACTCCTAACTGTCCACCATCTCTTTTCAGAGGGGAGAGCCCTGTACCAGGTGCACTACGAGGGCAGTGAAGGGCAGGGCTCAGCTTTCTATGACATGGTGGTTGTGACGACTCCCCTGCACCCCAGCAGGAGCAACTTCACCTTTGAGAACTTTGAACCGCCCATCGCTGACTTCCCCGGGGCCTTCCAGCCTTCCGTCACCTCTGTGGTGCACGGCTACCTCAACTCCTCCTACTTTGGCTTCCCCGACCCCAAGCTCTTCCCCTTCACCAGCATCCTCACCACCGACACCCCTGACCTCTTCTTCAATGCCATGGACAACATCTGTCCTGTCAACATCTCAGCAGCTTTCCGTCGCAAGCAGCCCCAGGAGGCCGCGGTGTGGCGTGTCCTCTCCCAGCAGCCGCTGGACAAGCAGCAGCTGAAGACCCTCTTCAGGTCCTACTACTCGGTGCAGGTGACAGAGTGGCAGACGTATCCCCGCTACGATGCTGCCAAGTCCCTCCCACCCATCGTGCTCCATGAAAACCTCTTCTACCTCAGCGGGGTGGAGTGGGTGGCCAGCTCCATGGAGATGATAGCGGTAGCGGCCAAAAATGTGGCCCTGCTGGCTTACAACCGCTGGCATCAGGACCTGGAGAAAATCGACCAGAAGGACTTGATGCACAAGGTGAAGACTGAGCTGTGACGCCCAGGGGAGGCGGTGGGCTGGGAGCTGCTGTGTGTAGTAGCCTGGGGAGTACTTATTGCCTTGGGGACACCAGGGGGTTGGGGCTGGGGGAGAAGGGGCAGGCTGTGTCCCGGATGACTTGAATGTGTGTTGCCTTCAGGAATACAGTCCCTGCCCAGTGTTGCTGTGTGTCTGTGCTGCGTGCCTCAGTTTCCCTGTTTCCCCTCCCCAGGCTCTACTGGAAAGGGACCTGTGCCTTTTCCTCTGAAAAAGGGTCACTGTGCATCTGGTTTCGGGAGGGACATCAGGGGGCTTTCAAGAATGAGGCTGGCTGGCATCGGCAGCAGATGGGTCCCCCCTGAGCTGCCTTCCTGGCTTTGCCCCCCGGACACGTGGTGGTAGGGCTGGCCCCGGCTGGGGGGGGAGGTCCCGTGGCCTCTCCCATGCCACACGTGCGTGGAGCCTGGCCACGCGTGCCCCGGGGAGGGGCGTGCAGGGTGGGCTGTCGCAGGTCCTGGCTTGCAGGGGGGTGCCCAGACTTCCTTGAGCAGGGGCCTCAGCTGTGTTAGGGGAGGGGGGGCAGAAAAGCCTTGCTGGGAGAAGGCTGGACAGCACCCACACCCCGGCAGGCAGGGCCAGAGGGGCAGGGTGACAGGCCAAGGCAGGGGTGGCTCGGCTGGGGACCAGCGATGCGCTTTATTGAAGACCTCAGAAGTCTCCCAAACCACCGTCCGCTTGCCCCGCTCCCCGCGCTGCCTGGCCCAGTGCAGAGGAACTTGTAGGTGGACTGGGGAGAGCTGGGTGCTCCCGGAGCTGTTGTACTGATGGAGCGAAGGCAAATGGAGACTTTGGGGAAGAAGGAAGCCTGATCCTGGCCAGCTGGAGGGACCAGCAGACAGCTGTCTCCCTCTCTCTGCGAGCCCACCCTGCTGAGCTCCTCCTGGGAGGTGAGGGAGCTCGGGGCAGCATCTCGCTGTGAGGACAGCCATGGGACTGCCTAGCTGGGTGACGTGCAGGGGCTGTCCCCACGCTGGGTGTCCCCAAACTGGCTGCTGAAGCTGATGGAGTCTGCCGGGGAATTTTGGGGAGCTCTTGGAGCTGCCATCGCCTTGCACAGGGGCTCTCCTCACCTTGATGCTCAGCGGGGTCACCCTCTCCCAGAGGGCTGGGCAAGCTTGGGAAGCAAGAGCAAGCTGGTTAGATGCCCACGGGTAGCTGCAGGGGTTAGCTTTGCAACCTCAAAAGATGCAGGTGCAGCCCACAGCGATGGTCTCCATGACCATCTGGTACTTCTTGTGACACTTCTTCCCGGAGGGCTTGTGCCCCACCTCACCCGGCACCTGGCAGAGCAGCCGGCGGACGGGCAGCCGGCTGTAGATGGGAATGCTGGCCATGGTGCGGTCCTCCTGCATCGTGAAGGGGTTGATGCAGCCTGTGCAGAGGCATCGGGCCTCGGGGATGTCTGCCGGGATCCGCGTTGCGTCGTGGTTTATGCTGGAGGAGAGGGAAAGCAAGACGAGGCTGGAGCGACGGTGGGGGGCAGTGGGCAGCTGGGGGCGGGCAGGGCAATGCCTTCACAGGGTGAAATGGGGTGCTGCACCCCCCAGCAGCCACTGCAGGCCCGGGATGCTGCTGCCGTGGCCGCCGCAGCACTTGCTGGCACGGAGCCACCGTGCATGTCCCTGAGGTCCCCGCTGCAAGCTCACCTGTAGGCCCAGGGGGACAGGCTCCTGCGGTTGGACCTCCAGAGCCTCAAGTTGACCCGGCACTTGGTGTCGCCCGGCTCAGAGCTGTTCCTCAGCTGGCCCACCATGTCCTGGATGCTGCGCTCGTAGTCTGCCATGGTGGTGTAGGGGTCGTCCGGGGCCCAGGCGAGGGCAGGGGCAGCCGTGGGGGGCTGTGTCAGGCCCCTTCTCCTGCCCTTTGCTGCCTTGCTTTGGTCCTTCGCTTCAGGAACCAGGACCATGGCAAAGGTGAAGATGCAGAGGAGAAGCTGAGGAGGAAGGAGGATGGTGCATGGCTGCCCACGCCACAGGGCTGGCGTGGAAGGGGAGCCCTCCCACCTCCCATGGGTCGCCCAGTGATGGCAGGACCACGTTGACTTTAGGGTGGCACATGCAACCCCCGAAGGGCAACGCTGGCCTGCGGGCGAGACCCGTAGAAGCACACGAGGGCAGTTTGCAGGGGTGGTGGGCACACGGTTGTGGTGAGCCCCTAGCCAAAGCCCCAGCTGATATACGTGGCTGAAAAGCCCATCTCCCTGGTTGCAGCTGGGAATTTACGTTGCCCAAAGTGTCCCTGCCCATGTTGCCTGGGCTGTTCCCCGTCCCTTCCCTGCCCACTCGAGGCGGCTGCATGCTGGGAGGGATGAGCACACCCTTAGATCAGGCTGTACCTGGGCAGCCTCCGGTTTAAAAGGAGCTTTAGAGATGAGACAGTCAAGAATGGGATCTTTATCCAAACCCTCCTCTCCCTCCCTCTGTGCTCTGGGGACGGTGAGAGAGAAAAGAAAGATGCTTTTTCCTTTCCTTCTCCCTCTGGCCTTGCAGGTCTGAGCTCGCGTGTGCTGACACCCGGCAGGCTGCCCAGCGGCAAACAAAGTTGCTTACTGTAGTCCTGGTCCCTGCTATTCGTGTCCCTACAGCCAGCCGCAGGCAGCCCCGCAGCCCTGCCCGGGGGTGTGCGGTGCCCCAGGGCAGCCACCGCTCAGCCGGGGCTGTTTTCCCCCTCCGGTGCCGGACTGTCCGCTCGGACTGTCGCAGCTTGGCTCTCTGAGGCTGTTGCATCCTCGCCGTGCCAGGCGTGGGAGCAACGGGCCTGGCAGATCACGGCATGCCTCTCCAAAGCAAACAAACCCAGGTAGCCACCCGTAAACAAGCGTGCAAATAATTATATTAAAGAAGGAAAACAAGAAGCGAGCCCTGAGCCACCGTGCAGTCACCTACCAGGTTTGGAGCCCACTCCATCGCCGCTGTCCTGCAGTGTGGCTGGCACTGGCGAGCTGGGGAGCTAAAAAGGGAAAGCCCCAGCCCCCGGCTCCGCTCTGCCGGAGGTGTGTCCGGTCCCCGAGGTGCCAGGGAGCCTCGGCGCCGGCGGGGCGGGGGGCCAGCGTGGTCTGGGACCGGGCCACCAGCCGCCTGCCCGGGCGCTGGCTCCACCTGCGGCTGTGGCTGTGGCCGGTGGCGAGTCCCCAGTGGAGTGGGCGGCCTGGAGGGGCTTGCTGGGCAAAACCCTGCCCTGGGGAGGGGGTTTGGGTTCTGGTGGTGCCACCGGCGAGGTCACAGCCCTGCCAGGGCCGGGAGGGACGCTGCTGCTGGGCTAGGGGAGCAAGGGCTTGCGGGGAGGACTGGGGGTGGGCTGCGTCCTTTCAGCAAGGTGTGCGGGTAGCCTGGGGCTGTCCGGCTGTCCCTGTGGGGACAGCTGAGGGCCTGCTGTCACCCATGTGCCACCACCAGCTCTGCTGTCCCCAGGAGCCACCAGACCCTTCTGCCCAGCAGTGAGGCAACAGCGCCCATCAATTCCTGCACCCCTGGGCTGTCTGTCCCCAAACGCTTCCTCTCCCGCTGTCCTCAAACCTGTGCCCAACCCCGGGCGGTGGGCACGCACCAGCTCTGCTCACAACTGGTCCCGGGGCCGGGCCCCAGAGCTGCAGGATGGCGGGTGTTAGTGGGGGGGTGCTCCCCCCCCGCCCCTGCGGTGCTGCCCTGGCTTCCCGGGGCCGAGCATTGGGATGCGGGGTGCTGCGGTGGGGGAAACTGAGGCGGGAGAGATGCCGGCTGCGACGGCTCGTCCCGGGGACAGGGGAGAAGGGGCCTCTCTCGGGAGGGGGGACTGGCCTTGGGAGGGGGCTGGGGGCCGCGGCAGCCCGGCACTGCAGCCCCCCTGCCCTGGGCTGTCCCTGCCCCCAGGCAGCCGCTGTGCCACACGATGGTGCTGTCCTCCACCCAACCGCGCCGCCAGCCCGCCGCCCTTCCCCGCTGCATCCCTCCTCCGGCAGCTCCCACCCCTCCGCATCCCTCCCTCCCTCCTCTGCCAGCCCCAGACGGCCGTGGGACGCGGGGGTGCCCGGTGCTGTTCCCCACGCCCACGGACGGCAGAGTCTGCCCTACTCCTTTGGAGGGGCCCTTTACATCGTTGGGGCTGCTGCCTCCCCCTTCCTCTCTCCCTCCCCAGCACCGCCAGCTTTTGGGGCGACACTAGATGTTGCGTTCCCCTCTGCCTCCCCACTCACTGTACAACCCCAGGGGTCTGAAGGCCCTTGTGCTTTGTAGGGTGGTGGAAAATCTTCACCTCCTTTTCCCAGTCCATGAACTAGGCCTCTAGAAAACCCCACAAATAGGATAAAACTCACTGCACCCCCAACTCCCACTGCCCCTCTCCTCCTTCCAGCCCTACCATCCCTGGGATGCAGCTGGGAACACAGCTGGTTGCTCCCACCCACAAGGGAGTCCCAGCCCACGCTAGCATCCCCAAGGACAGCCCCAACACAGCATTTCGGGGGCTTTTCCATCCCCTCGAATGAGGTCTGATGCTGTACATGGAGCACAGCACGTCCCTTTTGTCACCTTGGGGACCTGGCTGTAGCAGGGGCCCTGCAGCCACCTGCCTTTGCAGCACTGGGTGGTACAGCAGAGCCCAGCCCTCTGCCACCAGCCTCGTCTGGGGTGCTGAGCCTGCACCCCAGCGATTTCATCCCCTATTCCGTGATGCCCCAAGAGGGGCCAGTGAGCAGTCCTGGGCCTGGGGCACCCGGCGGGTGCTGGCCGCCTGCGTGTGCCGCGGCCGCCTGCGTTGTGTCAGCACTCGGCAATGCTGTTTACACATGAGAGAGGCTCAGAGGCATCCGCTCCGGCAGCCAATTACCCAGTTTTGATCTTTTTTGGTGAAAAGGAAACCAGAGCTTTTCAGACATGGCCAAATTTGATAAGCTGGGAGAGGCGGGGGCGGGCGCGGGTGTCTTTTCCCCACCGGCCTCACACAAGAGAAGGGGCTGGGGTGCATGGGCGGCTGGGTCATGGCCAGACCCTGCCTCCCGGCTGGGACGGAGAGGTGGCTGGTGGGCTCTGTGTGCCCGTGCTGGCCGTGGTGCCGTCCCTGTGGGAGTGGGGTGTGCTGCGGTCAGCCCCACGGGGGAAGGTGAGGGAGACGGTGGATGAGGAAGGGCAGGAAACCCACACACATCTTCCCTGGGTGTGGGTTACCCAGAGGGGAGAGGGGATGTGCCTCTGGGTTTTGTATGTGCTCATCTCTGCTACGTCCCCATCAATTTGCCCCGCTGCCATGGGAAATTTGTGTGGAAAGTAGAGTCTGGAGACTGAGAGCAAGTCCCCAAACAGGGCAGGAGGGGCCTTGAAGACAGGTTCTACCTGTCCCCAGTAAACACAGGTGTGTATTTCCCAGGGTAACCATCCCGGAACCCTCTGCCAAGCTTCTAGCTGAGCCCGAGCTCCCAGGGCAGAGGGATGCAGGGTGGCCGTGTGGGAGGCACGCGCTGGCCAGGGAGTGTGTAGCAGAGCACATAACAGGGACCACAGGTAAAGGAACGGGGGGAATCAGACAACAGTTCCCATGCTGGCAGAAAATAGCTTTTTGCCTTTTTTCACAAGCAGGAATGGCCCTGCTGGAGCGGGAGCCATTGGCATGGGGTCTGTGGTCCCCTCCACCCGTGGTGGGCAGTGGGCAGCATCACCACTGTTGGTGCCACGCTGCCGGGCACGGCCCCTTCTCCAGGCACCAGGCTGCTCCTGAGCCCAGAACCTCCGTGGGGTTTGTGAGGCCCCAGCACACCTGAGCACACACCCACCCGTGGGCCAGGAGACTGGGGCCGGCGGGAGGCTCCGGCACGGCCGCGGTACCTCCTATCTCTGCGTGAGCAACATTTTCCACTCATCAAATGTAAGCGTGCCCCAGCGAGCCGGCCTTGCCAGAGCCAGCCCCATGCCATGGCGAGGAGGCAGGCTGGGGCCGGGGGCCCCCCGCATCCCCCCACCCCCCGGCAGGTAGCGCCCGGCCGAGCTGGCAGCGCGGCACTCACATCCATATTTGCACAAAGGCCCACTCAGCGTGTGAGTGGCTCCAGAGGCACCCGGGCCAAAAAGGCTTATTTTAAGCTTGCTGGAAAAAGAACATTGTTTGGTGGGAATTAAAACTCCCCGTTCTCAAAAAAGGGAAAAACAAAAAGTGCTTAATTCTGCCGGCTCCTGCCACTGCATAAACACAGAGCCACGGCCCAGATGGAGAGGGCGGCCAGGAATTTGTTGCTGGCATCGAGTGGGGTGGGTGCCCTCCCCTGGGAAGCTGTCGTGGGACACGGACCCATCCCCTCCCGCGCCCCTGTGTCACTGGTGCTGTCCCCAGAGTCCCCACTTTGGTGGGAAGGGTTTTCCCGTGGGAGGGAAGGGGCATCACCCAATGTGGGTGCTGTGGCTGCGGAGGTGCCGGGGTGCTGCAGGCAGGAGGGGTGACCGTGGTGGCTGTGCGAGGGGCTGGACAAGCTGTCGGCAGCCCAGGGTCTTGCTGCGCCTGGGTTCTGCATCAAAGGACAGTATTATTTATACAGCCCTAATCCGGCTGTCTCGGCAGCCCTTCAGCCTGCTCAGGCGGGGAGCTGGGTGATGCTCAGGGCTGTCTGTAAATCACGCCCTTTGGATCACACGCGTGAGATAACAGCCAGGCTTTGGCGTCGGGAGGCAGAGCTGTGCAGGGTTGTCCTTCGGGGCTGGGGGCCGTGGGGTCGGCAGCACCCCAGCCTGCCCGCCCCCGGGCAGGAGGCTGGCGGGGGGGCAGAGGCGTCAGGAGAGCGGCTGCCGGCAGCGCCGGGACGGCGGGGCGGGAGGGAGGGTGCACGTCCGGCACATCCTGCTGCGGCCTCGCCGGCACATCCATCAGCCGCCCAGCGTTTACAGCACGTCGCTGGTTACACGATCCAGACGTGCAGGTTCCTCCTGCATCGCTCCTCTCCTGCCCTTTGTTTTCTTTTGCTTTCTGCTCCTGGAGACGGAGCACCTGATGGAAAAAGCCTGCTCTCCCACTCCCCGTGCTGGAAACACCCATTTCCTTCCGCCCCTGCCTGGCACAGCGCGCGGTGTGGTGTACCAGAGGGCTGGAGGAGCCCGTGCAAGGGACAGACCCTGGTCCCAGAGGGACCCCTCTCGGTGATCTGTGTGGGGCAGAGCCAGCTCCCCCATAGGATGGAGCAGGGCAGAGCCGTGGTCTCCTCCAGGCAAGGAGGCTGCAGGGACCGCTGAGGCACCACCCAGGCATGGGTTCCACCAGCCTGCCAAGCCTGACTGGCACCTGGCCCCATGCCCTGCTCCTTCCATGTACTCCGTGCTTGCCCTCCGGGGTCTTGGCCTCAGCCTGTACTGGCAGTGCCCCACTGCCCACCAGTGCAGAGCATGGCTGGGCAATGCTGGGTTTCCAAATAACTCAGTTTTGCTTCCCTCTGCAGCCGAAGGCAGGCAATGCGGTGGCCGGACACCAACCCCAGAGCGCTTTGGAGAGGTGGCTGCTTTTTGTGCTGGATTGCAAAGGTGAGGCACTGTCCTGCCAGGACACTGCATCCCAGCCCCTGGCTGCAGGAAGCGCTGGCCCTCCAGCCCCACACGGGGCACATGGAGCAGCACGGAGCCATCCCCACTGCCCTCCCTGCAAGGCCACGGGGCTGGAGGGAGCTCCCAGGGATGTGCTTCCAGGGCAGCAGTGCCCTCTGGGTCTGTGAGGAGAAAGCCTCTTATTTTTAGGGCTATGGTGGCTTTTGCTTGTGGGCAGGCATCCAAGTTCCCAGTTTCCCAGGGCAAAGCGGAAGGCGGAGGTAAGTGGAAAGCTCGACGGTGGCACTGACGTCTGCCCTGGCAGGCTGTGCTCAAGTCAAACCTCTCCTCCCTGCGGCCATGGGCATGGGGCCACTGCAGTACATGCAGGGACCCCTGAGCTCCTGGGGAGTCATCATCGGGGGGGGAACTGGCGGTTTGAAGTCAGGGCAGAAGGTCTCCTGCCCTGGTCCCCGTCCCCTGCTCCCACATGCTGCAGTTTTAGCAGTCTGTGGAGGGAAGGGATTTACAAAGCAGCACAGGCCAGTCCTGAAGGTCACCTTTAGAGCTGCTCCAGCCCAGCTCACCCATTAATCACGCTGTCCTGCCCCTGTGACGGAGATGGCGCATGCATGGGGGCGAGGGAGGCAGGGGCTGCCTGCTCTCGGGTGTAATAATATACGGGCTGAGAAACGCCCGCCTGCCCCCCAGCAGCCCCCTCTGATGTTGGGCAGTAGATGACAAGGCTGTAAATTTGGTGTGTTTGGATGTTAGCAAGGCTCATGGGAGAGCGGGTTCTCTTTATTGCTCCCCGGGCTCTCAGGAAGGTGGGAGCAGCCCCACAGAGCCTGCCCAGGGGCTCCCTCTCCATCGCTGCCCCGTGCACGGCCAGTGGCCAGTGGGACTCGCTGCCTGCCTGGGACGGGAGCGGGGCTGTCCCTGCTGCCCGGGACCACCCAGGCCCTTGCAGCCGGCCAAGGGGGCTGGAGGTCAGCAAGGGGTGGGAAAAAAAATCACTTTTGTGGAGATACTGAAACTGCATCTGCCGTGATGAGGGATCGCTGGGCAGCATCTTAGCGAAGGAGTAATAAAAACAAACCCACGCCAAGGAATCCTGCTTTGCCCCAAATGTTTTTCTTATGGAGTTGTAATAAGACAAGAGTTGTAAAGATAGTAACCTCCTAAACATTACCTTATTAAGGCTTCTCAGAAACCACAGGGCACGACCCCTCTGGGTCATGGAACAAGAGAGCAGCATCCAGCGAACAAACAGAGGCTAACGTTACATTTTTCACTTCATTTAGGAAACCTGGTTTCTAATTATAGGGTTTGTTTAACGGCAGTAGTTAGTTGTGCTTCACTCAAAGCCAGCCGACCGAGAGCAGGGGCTGCGCGGCCATGCGGAGGGGAGAGGGGACAGAGGGTGACGGGGGCTGGGAGGTGCTGGCTCCATGCCGGCTCCCGAGGAGGCTGCCGGGCTCCTGGGACACGGGATGGGGATGAGCTCGGTACCCGTGGGCACAGTGAGGGGCACTGTGGGAGGGACTCTGTGCCCAGTGAGGAGCCCCAGTGTGTCCTGGGGACATGCCACACTTGCTAGCCTAGCTCTGTGCCATGCACCAAGGCTTATCTGCAGCAGAGAGAGGGGGATGCCCCTGCTGTGGGGTGGCACGGCTTTGCTCTGCGGGCAAATGGATCTGTGTGTGTGCAGGGATTGAAACAATCGCGGCTTTTTGGTTTGTTGGGTTTGTTTTGGTGTTTGGTTGGTTGGTTGGTTGGTTGGTTTTTCCCCCCCCTGTCTGCTGCCAGAAGCCCCAGGAAAGTCCTTCATATTCCTGGCCAGGTACCTTGATGGTGGCTCTGGCTCCTTGGAGGACTCTAGCTGCCTCTCTCCCCTGTCTGGGCATGCTGCCGGCAGGTTCAGGCACAGCCACTCCAGTCCCTGCTCTCCCTGCAGATGCTGAGCATCCCCTGGGGCTGTGCTGGCTGCTGCTCTCCTGTGTCTTGGCCTCACCCCCACCAAGCAGCCCACAGCACTGGCCTGCCAGCCCTGCTGTCCCCTGGCAGGGGAGGCAGCAGGACTGAGCACACGGCAGGTCCTACACTTGCCTGCTCTGTAATGGCCTGGCCACGGTGCTCATTGCTGCAGGGTGCCTGGGGTGGAGGGAGGTGTGAGTGTGTGCACGTAGGTGTGTGTGCGTGTAGTGGTGCAGAAAGCACAGGCCGGTTCCTTGCTTCTCCTTTACTGCAGCTGGTAGGGCAGTGACCTCCCAGACGACTCACCCTTCCCTTGGCCGAATCCTGTCACTGGTACAACTCCTCTGCACTGGTTTTGCTCCCCACTGTCACCCCTGCCTTCCCCAGAGCCAGCTGGTGTGGCTGAGTGCTCCCCAGCACTGCCAGCCGCTGCCTCTCCTCCTCTCCTCTTTAACTCCCAAAGTGACTTGCCCACGCTCCCTCTTTCCAGCCGTGGGGGTTTCTCCAGCAGCTGAGCAAAACCAGGCCAGCCAGTTCAGAGCTGGCTTTGCCAGCTTGCCTTCTTTCACTTCCCCAGGGTGGGCTGGGTGACTCTGAGCACCCATCTCTGTGCCAGCCGCTGGCAGCAGGGCTTCCTTTCCAGCCCCGACCCTCCAGACATCCAGAGCTGTGCTGGGCTGGTGGCTGCCCAGTTTGCAAGGGTGCAGGGCTAATGTGGGGAGGGGGCTGGTGGCCAGCCATGGCCTCAGCGTGGGAGGGATGTCCCGGGGGGACACACAGAGGTGTTGAAGGGACATTCAGCTCCTGTAGCAGAGGCTTCAGTGCTGAGGTGGTGTGTAAGTCTAGAGGGAGCAGGAGGGACACCAAACACTCCACACCCTGTACAAAGCCTGGCACGATGGCAGAGGGGTGCTGGTCCCGGCTTTGGGGCTGTCCTTGGAAAACCCAAAGAAGAAGCTCTTGGTGCCTCTGCCTTGCTCCCTGGCTCTCTCTGTTATCACTTGCTGCAGAGGACCCCGCAGCGGCTGCTTCCCCCTCCTCCGGAGCTGCGCTCTGCTGCTGGCTTCACTGCCGGGGGGAGCCCAGCCCAGCCCCGCAAACAGCCGTACCGCCCGGGGGGGCTCGGGGCAGGGCAGCGCTGTCCAGAGCAGAGGTGAACCTCTCTGACTCGCCATGCCAGGGGCTGTCGGCCGGCCGGCGCAGGAGGAGGAAGGCGCTTCAGTGCTGGGTGTTTCCCTCACAAGCTGCCAAGTGGCTGCTCATTAATGGGGCCCCAGTGCCGGCTGGAGGCCGAACGTGGGCTCATGGTCCACGCAGGGCCAGGAGGGGCTGGGGCTGACGCAGTCCTGCGGTGATTTAGCTCCCACACCGGCTCCCCATGCTGCTAAAACCCGAGGAAGGGTGTCATGCGCATCCAGCCCTGCAGCACTGGCCTCACCACCACCATCCCATGGGGGTCCCAGCCCCACCGGCACTCAGGGATCTCACCCTGCGCACACAGGCAGCCTGGCGAGAGCCCCGTGGCCGCCGAAACGCCTTTTTTCCCAAGCCAGATGGAGCTTTTCAAAGTAATGGGAATCACAAGCCACCTCCAGCCGGGCCAGGGAGCATCTCCGCTTCCTTCTCCCAGCCGTCGGGACAGACGCCAGCCCCGGCTCCCTGGCCCCTTGGCCAGCTTGCCCCACCAGACCCCCACCCCACCGGCAGTGGGATGCGCGTCCCCCCCGTGCGCAGTGCCGGGGCTGGGAGGAAGTCAGTTATTGCAAACAACTTTCTCCGGGCGGGATGGCCTGGGTTCCCAGGCGCGTCGCTGGCAGCCGGCGCAGCCCTGGCCGCTCTCCTCCCCCTCACTCCCCCCAGCCGTCCTTCCCTCGCTCCCCCTCTCCGACTTAATGACTTCCACATGGGCCTCTGGCATCCCGAGCCAAGCCTCCCAGCATTGTCTGAAATCTCCAAATTTAGAAGAAATATGAAAATTGTCAAGCAGCCCTTCCTTAGGGGGTAAAAGCAACACTCGGCTGCGCGGCGGCGGGTCGCGGCGGCAGGGCCACGTGACGGCACCCCAGCCAATGGATCCCCTCGGCGCCCCTGACAGCGGTGCCCGTCGGCAGCCTGGCCTCCTCCTGCAGCTCATATAAGGTAAAAAGAAAAAGGTTTTCCAGCTTCTGAGCAGCCTAGAAGGAGTTTCTCGCCGAGGGCTCCCATGCCAGCCGCTTAAAAAACCCCAGCTGGCAGCGCTGGGGTCCCAGTGGCGGGTTATAATGTGCCGGGAGGAGGTGGCGGGCATGTGCCCACGTCCCCGCGGTGCCCCGTCGCAGGTGTGGGGCGGCAGGTAGGTGCCCGTGGATGGAGGGAGCGGGTGAGTGCATGGGTGGGCATGCTGGGTGTGTGGGGCAGCTGGCTGCATGGGGCAGTGGGGATGAGAGGCGGTTGGTGCTGAGACTCCCCGGCAGCGTGGGTGCTCCTGCTCTGCCCAGTGCCTGGCCCGGGCACGGGCACGGGCAGGCAGGAGGCAGGGGAAAGAGCGGGTCCCCCCGCATCCCCCTCTGCCAGCCACGGGATGCTCAGCTCAGCCGTCTGTGGGGAAGCGGGCAGGGGTGCCCCCACCCAGGTGCGTGGATGCTGTGCCCGAGGTGGGAGGGAGGCGAGCGGAGCACAGTCACAGGGCAGGCAGCAAGGAATCCCACGGGGCACAGCACTGGCAAGGAGTGGGCAGAGCCACCTCAGGGCCAGGCGGTCCTGAGCAAACAGGTCTCCCAAAATTTGTCCCTACAGCTCCATCCTGGCCCTGCGATAGGGGCTTGCTGGGGCTCACTCAGCTTTTTGGAGGCAGGGAAGGGCCCTCCCGGGGCTGGGGGAGGAATTGCTTTCTGTTCTGTGTACGTCTAGGATGGAAAAAACGGGAAGCCGGAGGCAAGCCCGGGCAGGCAGGCTCTCTGTGCAGCAGCGGCCATGGGCTGCTTGCTCAGCTCCTCTGGCCGGCCGTGCTGCTGCCACTTTTTGGGGAAAACAGGCCGGGGAAGGGATGGGGTCGCGGCTCACCGCTGGAGGCTTGCAGGGTGCTGAAGCCACCCTACCCAGCACACTCACGCTGGCCGAGTGCATCCCGTGGGCAGCAGCTCTTGGGACCCCAACACCAGCCCAGCCTGTGCCGCTGCCTCGCTCTGCTCGCCCTGGCCGCGGCCCCTAAGCCGGCACTGCTGGCGTGCTCCCGGCCACCGGCGTTTCCCTGGCTCCATCACTCACTGGGTGAATGGGTGCTGCATCCTCAGCCTCCCTGGAGTTGCAGCAGCGGCTGCCAAGCGTGGTCACCCTGTGAGAGCCAGCGGCTGAGCCCCGGGGTGGCCACGGTGCTGGTGGAGGGGGCACAGGGCGTGCAGCAGGCGATGGCAGGGCTGCCGGCCCCGTATGGCGCGAGGGGACAGACACAGCTTGTTCCTAGACAGCCTTGAGCTTAGGCCTTGCAAAGGCTCCCCGAGACTCCCCAGGTCGTGCCTCCTCCCTGTCCGTCCCTCGCAGGATGCGGTGCTGCCTTTGCCTGGATTACGGCTGGCTCTGTGCCGTTCCTCTGCTCCCAGGGCACCAGCAGTGGCTGTCCCCTCCCAGCGGGTCACCTGGGGACACTGTGCCTGGCAGGCATGTGGCAGCAAGTTGCCATGTCCCCCTGCCTCCTTCCTTTGCAGGGAAGCTCCCACCACCACAGGGACAACCACCAGCTGTCACTTGGGTCCAGCATGAGAACAGCAGGTCCAGCCAGGGCGCGATGCCACGCCTGGGGGTGAAAGCTCCTCTACGGGCTGTCAGTCCCTCTGCAAAGGGATAGTGACAGTAACCAGGGTGCTGCAACCTCTCAGGGCAGCTGTTGCCACCATGGTCCTAGTCTGTCCCCATCCCGCTGTGTCTCCTTCCTGCTGCCGCTGGCTGTTCCCAGGGAAGTTGCAGCATCTCGGCACTGGGATGGTGCACGCAGGGACAGGGAGCCACTGGTGCAACATGGTCTGAGTCCCCATCCCAGCAGTGGTGTCCCCAGCGTGAGACTATCCTGCCTGTGTCTGCCCCGGCTCCCCAACCTCCGTGCACTGGCCAGGGTGCCCTGCCAAAGGGCAACGCCATGGCGGCCCCGCTGCCGGCCGATGGAAGAGGAGTTAATTTCCAACAAATACAGGCAGACACCTCCGCCAAAGATTTCCCAAGCAGTTATCAGCAGGAATTCAGGGAAGGCTGTGTCTAGACAGGCTGCAGCTCTGGGTGGCTGCTGGATAGAGTGGCATTTCCCTCCACGCTTGTCAAGAGGCAGTCTGGAGATGATTAAGGTTTTTTGGTTTTTTTGTTTTTTTTTTTTTTTTTCTTCCTTTTCTTGGTCTCCTTTTCCAGCCTTGTTCCTGACCAGGCTTTTCCGAGGCTTGTTCCTCTGCACCCCCAGTGAAACCTGCCTTTGCTCATCCCTGGCATCCCACTGCTTCTCCTCTCCTTGGGCTGAACTGGGGGCAGCCAGTGCCCAGGGCCCGGCGGTGCGGCTGGCTCCTGGCAGACAGGGCCACGACGAGCCACACCATCCGCCCACGGCACACTTTACCTCCTGGCAGGTTTTGGCTCCTGCCAGCCGTGGGCAGGCGTGCGGGCACTGCGCTCAGCCGGTCACCGCCGGGCCCTGGCAAAGGTGGTGGCAGTGGCATGGCACGGGCAGGCAGGAGCACCAGCAGCGCAGGGGGCTGAGCGCTGGGCTGGGGACCCCCGCCTGCTCCCCGGGGTGGCTTCAGCACCTTAACATCTGCGGGGCAGAAGCAGCAAAATTTATGTTTGTGAGCGAGCCGGTGTTAAGCAGAAACAATGAGGCAAGAGGCTGGAAATCTGAGCTCTGCAGCCATTTCACCATCCATTGACCTTGGCCGGGAGCAGATCCTGCACGGGGGGAGGCTCCAGCCGGGGGGGGGATGGAGCCCAACACACATCCCATGGCTGCAGACCAGCGGGTGCTGGGGGAGCACTTGCTGCTCCTAAACCCCGAAACCCCTTTTCCTGCCCAGGACTGTGCGCATTCACCGGGCTCGTCTCAGCTCTGCCTCCACGTCTGGTTCTGGTCTCCCACTGGGCAGTGGGGACGTGCTGCCTGTCCTGCTCTGGGGGTGTCCCGGGGGAGCTGGGGCAGTGTCTGCCCACTGGCAGCACCCACCAGCCAGGCTCAGGGAGGGCTTGGGGGAGTAGAGCCTCATCCTCCTCCCCTGCCAGACATCAAGGGGGTCACCAGCCAGGATGTGCTGGTGCTCCCCCAGGGTCTCGGGGTCCCCATCCCTTTGGCTCAGGGCAGGGACAGCAGGTGGAGGCCCAGGCTCATCTGGCACGGTCACGGAGACAGAGGGCAGAGGCTGCAGTCAGGCCCCATGTGGAGCCAGGGACTTGGTTACCTGCATGGGGGACCAGGCTTTTCTGTCTCACACCCCAGTGATGCCAGCCTGGGCAGGGAAAGGGGCTGGTGAGTGTCCTGGGCTGCCCCAGGGATGGACAGGGACACTTCCCAGCAGCAGCAGCCAAATCCCCACTGCACACTCAGTCTGTTCAGCCAGCAGAGCTGAGCATGGAGCTGATGTGGCCATGCAAGGCTGTGCCAGCACTGGGGCAGGGAGAAGCAGCGGTATTGGGGCAGAGCTGGCCTCTGCAGAGCAGCAGGGAGGGAGCCCATCGCAGTGCCAAAGCAGAGGGGCCAGGCTGCTGCGAGCGAGCATCTTCCTGATGCTGGGTGGAGGTGAGGGACTAAGCTGCTTTTTGCTGGTGGACGTGCTGGAGATGGTCACACTGCCTGAGGGATAGGGAAGGGGGCTTCTGGAGGGCTGGCAAGCCCCCAGGGCCAGCCTTGTGCCCACATTAGGTGCACACTGTGTGCAGCTGTCAGCGAGGCAGGTGAACAGACACGTGTGCGGTCGGGCTGAGTGAGAGGCAGCCCGGGCTGTGTTTGATGTGAGACGTGGAGGTAGGAAGTGCTGAGCAACGATATCTTCCCCGTCCTGCTGTCGCTGAAGCAGGGAAGCAGGTGCCGCACGGTGCCGGAGCCGTAGGAGATGGTCGGCGTGCCAGGAGGCAGCGTGCCGGCGGGGCTGCCCGGGGCATGGCCAGTCCTGAGGGACACTGTCCTGCTCCAGGCAGCAGGCAGTGCCGTCTGTCCCGGGAATATGCCCCCCGTGAACCTCGGGGGGCCTGGCCCTGGCTGATGCTGTGTTGCGGTGGCGGTGCGGCTGTTCTGTTAAGCCCCTTCCCCAGCAGCTGCAGGGAGGTGGGACATGCTGGCAATGCTGGAGGCTTCCCACCCTGGGGCAGCAGGGTCTGTGGGTGCTGGCCAGCGGCTGGGAGGGAATGCATCTCCCCTGCTCTGCAGGGACATCCCTGTCATGGGGGGCAACAGGAGGCCGGGAGGTGAAGGCACTGCCTCTCTCTGGGCTGAGCTCTGCTGGGAGGTGAACAGCTTCCCTTGGACAAGGGACAGCAGCAGACGGAGCCCAGGGCTGTGGGACCCGCCATGCCACGCGTGGGGCAGATGCTCGGTGGTGGACAGCAGGTCACCCTGGTGCTCACTGTGGGACAGACTTGCTGGTCGCTGGCACATAGGGCAACGTCTCTCTCTTCCAGCCGGGCCTTCTTACCTGGGATCCCTCACCGCAGAATTGCCCTTCCTTTTCCCCACCCCTCCCTTTTCAACTTTATTTTTTAAATTTCATTTTTATTATTCCCCACCTCCAGCCCCCACGAGCCCCGCCGCACTCAAGCAGAGGATTTGCACCACTCGCCCCACGAGCTGGGCGCTCCCTGGCCAGTGCTGCCGGCGGGGCTGCCGGCGTGGGGGAGCCCGGCTCCACGGGCACTGTAGGGACATGGTGCCTGAGGATCAGTCCTGATGTAACTCCTGTGCTCAATCTTTTTCCACATCTCATCTCCTGCTTGCTGGGAGCTCGACCCATTTAGGGTATTTTCTTTTAGCGTCTTTTACTGCTCGGCTGGGTGGGCAGCAGGCAGGGCTGGGAAAGCTGGGGCCTGCGGGGGGAAGTGATTTACTAACCGGGCTCCTCTCATGTCCAGGCGATGCTGCACACACCCCCTCACTCCCCCTCTGCCTTGCTGGAGCAGAGATAAGGTGATAAAGCCCAGATAAGCAGCCAAGAGCACTGGCAGCTTAATGAGCTCCAGCCACACCACAGCTGTGCCTCCTTGGGAGGAGAGGGAGCCTCAATGCTCCCTGCCTGCTCCGGCTCCTGGCTTTTTGCTCGCCTTGTTTGAGCTCCTGTATGCCTGCCATGCTGAGGAGTGTCCCTTCCATCAGCTCCTCAGGCCAGCTCCAGCTGGGAGCCATGCGAGAGCAGGGTGAGCAGCAGAGCCCGGGGAGCAAGGAGGATGCTGGAGCCCTACATCGCTTGGGAACCGTGTCGGCGGGGAGCTCTCCCTGCGGTGCTCTGGGTTCCCACCAGCCCTTCCCAGCGAGGGCTGGAGGCCAGTGACGTGATGGCCTGTCCCCGCTGGGACTTCACCCCTGCACCACTTCCTCTGGACTGGGAATGTGACGTGTAAACAGAGCGGGAGGGCTGATGCCGGCACCCGCTCCCACGCTCCGTGTGCCCCAGGGCCAGCACTGGGGACACCAGGCATCAGCCCTCACTGGTGGGCTCCCCACACCCCCAAAACACCTTCCAGCGACGGGCTGGGGAGGGGGCCCAGGGCTGCGCTGCCCCATGGAGGGGGAGGCAGCTCTGGGAGGAGGAAAAAATCATCTAAGGATGGGGAGATGGTGGTCAGTGAACTGGGGGCAGCAGGAAAAAGCTAAGGCCATGGGAAAGGTGATGACCAGGCTGCTGTGTACCTTGGCTCTTCCTCAGCTATGCTTCTTCAAGCCATGAAGCCCCGTCCCGCTGTTCCTGCCCCTCTGGAGGCCCTTTCTCACCCCAAAACCAGGCTCTAGCGTTGCTGCAGGGTTTCAGTCCCTCACCTCAGCGCCGGCACTGGTGGCTTTGCAGGAACCAGTGGGTTTCTCCATGGCAGCACAGGACTGGGCAGTGGTGGCCAGGCAGGGATGGTGGGGTCGGTCCCCTGCCCTGCGGTGACGAACAGGGAGATGTCAGCTTGTGATTGCAGCCCAAAGGTAGCAGAGGCCTTGTCTGTCCCTGGGCTCCCTCCCGCTGTCCCCACTGTGCCACCACCCTGTGCCTCAAGCGGGGTGTGGAGGAGCCCAGCTCTCTGTGGAGTCACCAAATTAGGCGATTTCTCCCTCGTTCTGGCACCAGGAGAGGGGCTGCCTGCCTGAGATGAAGGAGCATAAACCAGATGCGCTCTCCCCTCTGCACCCATCCCTTGCTCTCAGCCGCCCAAACCTGCTCCTTTGTTCTTGGCATTATAATTTATCCCAGCAAAACCCAGCAAGAAAGAACAGCATCCCCCTGGGCCCCCTTGGCTCGCCCCCAACATGGGAGATGGGGGCCGCTTGGTCTCCAAATCTGCCTTTTTGACCATAAAAGGGCAGGCACGCTGCAGCCCCGGCGGGAGGATGGGAAAGGGAAGGCAGAGCTATTTATAGCTGAGCATCAGGACCTCAGCCTGAACTCGGGGTTAATCAGCCTACGACCAGATTAGGATCTCTCTTGGCCCCTCCATTTTCTCATAAACCTTTGATTTAATACCAGTGCTGGTGAGGGAGGGAAGGAAGAAGGGAGAGAGGAGGCACCTCTCCTCTGTGGAGGCCACTGTGGTCTGGGGGGGACAGGATGGAGATGCTGGGAGAGCTGGAAGGCCCCGGTGGGAAAGAGCGTTGGGGCTGTCCTGCCATCAGCTTGTGCTGCAAAGCGACAGCGAGCAGCATCCCTGCGCGAGGGACACCCAACAGGCAGCAGAAGCTGCCCTGGGGTCAGTCCCTTAAACTTCTAGAGTTGAGTGAGTCCTTCCAGCAAGAGCACGTTCCCCTCCAGCATTCCAGTCCTCACCACCCTGGAAGGGAGGCACCGGGGGGGGGGGGGGGGGGGTTGGTCCTTGGGCAGCATTTACCTTGTGTGGTGCCACCCAGCAATGAGTCCCTCAGCCAGAGGGAGGTGGCATCAGGGCTGCCTGGGGGGATGATGATCAGAGCTGGATCAAAGCTCCGCTGGGGCAGGGATGGAGCCCTGACAGTGGTGGAGATCAGGATTTTGGGGGCCAGGAGGAGGGGATAGGGCACCCACGTGGGGCTGAGCATCACCCAGTGCCTTCTGTCCTCCTCCAAAAGTGGGGCAGCCTGGAGCCACTCACAACAGAGCCCTCCTGGCCGGGGGGTTCAGAATTCCTTCAAAAGCCCAGGTCTGGCCTCGCGAGGCTGGGGAATTTCAAGGAGGAAACAAATCCCAACTGCTATTAAAAAAAGGACATTTCCTGCAGCGGCAGCCTGCCTGGAGAGGGGAAAGGGCACTGTGTTGTAACCGCGGGGAGGGCCGAGCTCTGACTCAGCCCAGTGCCGCCGGGGAGGCAGCTCGCAGCCACCGAGCACTCACCCGCCGGCTCCCATCCTCCCAGCACCCGCCAGCGGCGGCAGGGCGGGCGAGCAGGGGAAGCGGCTCGGCAGAGGCGAAGGCTGGAGGTGAGCAGCGGGTAGGAGCAAGGGCAATGCCAAGCAGTGCTGGTGTGACCAAGGAAGGAGGCGGGGGGCCTTTCCTGGGCGTGCATGCTGTGCCCCGGGCACCCCCTCCAGGAAGCCTCGGCTGGGGGATGTGGTGGCGGTGGGTGGTCTGCCCTAGTGTCGGCAGGACCGTGAGTCCAGCCATTTGTTATTCTGGTTTCTTCTTCTGAAGCCAAGCGGCATGTTTGCACCCACACAAGAGAGGGGATGAGCAACCTGGGGCCATAGGTCTCCTCCTGGCAGGCACTGCTTGGGGAACACTGGTGTCCCCCAGCGCAGAGGTCCCCCAGCAGCAACATCAGTGCTGGGGAGCAGAGGGTGGTGGCTGCATGGCACGCTGGTGGCAGCCTCCTTTCCATGGGAAACCGGGACAAAACTGAGAGTGGACACAAGGGGGAAGGGGCAGGCCTTGCAGCACTGGCTTTTTTGCCCCATCTTGGGGACATGAGATGGGGACATTGGAGGGAGGATGGGGGTGCCTCCCTCCCCCTGAGACCTCCCCTCAGGCAGCGGTGGGCAAGCCCCAGCAGATGTTTTGCCTCCAAGCCGGCGAGATGCGCAGCCCAGCGCATTCCTGCAGCCTTTCTCGGAGCTTCCCCCCCCCCATCACCACCTCCCCGGGGACGGCAGTTGAGGTCGCCAGGCCCCACGCTGTGGGGGCAGAGAAGACTCTGTCCTGTCTTTTCCCACCCAAGCTGGGATGGTGGCAGGGAGAGGACAGGGGCCATCCCCAGGCCCCACCGCAGGGCTCCCTGTGTGCCTGGGGACCTGCCAGCCACCACTGGGAGAGGGGAACATGCCCCATGCCCTCAGGCTTTGGGCACACATGGCTTCGAGCAATCAAGGGGAGGCCTTTGAGTGGCTGTCGTAGGGTTTCTTGTGTGCACAGAGCTGTTGGCATTGCTGTCCTCAGTCCCGTGGGGTGCTGGGCACCCAAGGGGACCCCATAGCTGCTGCCCAGGAAGGGATGCGGCTCCACACCAGTCCACACTCTGCACCGCCACGCTGACTGCCATCCTCCGTGTCTTACAGACTTGTCAGCCGCGGGAGTCCCTTGGGACATCGAAGCTGCCGAAAGCACATGATGACTACAACTCCAGAAACATGGCCAGCGGCGAGAGATGGACAGAGAAGGCATGCCAGCACGCTGCCAGTGCAGGCACCGCTGCGTGCCCTCTCCCTGGGCACAGGCAGCCGCACGCTGCAGGCAAACCTGCCCCTGTTCCCCGCTGCCCAGCCCCACAAAGCAGTGCCGCACATCACTCCTCGAGCACGGCAGCCCCCTTGCCAGGGGTGCACATGGGGCCGGGGCACACTGTCCAGCGGGGCCAGCGGTGGGGCAGAGGCTCTGCAAAGGTGTAGGGTGGGAGGAGGGTCCCTGCGGCACCTCTCCTGGCTCTGGGTCCCTGTGGCTCTTCCCACACTTGGCCGGAGCTCAGGGCTGGCCTGGCCGTGGCTGGTATGGAGATAACCCCACGCCGGCCAAGGCTGCTCCCAAACCTCGTTCCCGACTGATGGATGCTGCAAACCTGGGGCACCACAGGGCTCTTCTCTTTCCTACCAAGACCTGGGGGCAGCGGAGGGGGGAGCCCAGCACATTGCACAGGGCGGTTTCTGCCCCGGTTCCCAGCTGGGTGCACCCGGCCGGGGGGGCCGGTGCCGGATGCAGGGGCTCACGCCGGAGATGCACCATCTGCTTCTCGTCAGGCGGCTGGGAGCGCCGCAGCTGCCGGGGCCCGGCAGCAGAACGCGGTTGTGATAGATGGTCTGTTTATCACGTTTCGGCTCTGCTCAGGATGTTAGTGTTCGCCTGCGAAAGACATTTTTGGGCTTGGCTGCTCCCTCCATCCTCCTTCTCCTCCTGTTCCCCCCACCCCGCCCAAGAGCCTCGCCTGTTTGGGGGAGGGGGGGTGGCTGAAGCCCATCTGGACCCAAGGGTGAAGGCCTGGGCAGCAGCCCTCCTGCAGCCGCCGGTCCTTGCCCATGGGAAGGGTTGGGCTCAGCCCTGCTGCCTTGGGAACGGATCGGGCCAATGTCTGGACTTGGGAAGCCGAGGTGCTGGCCAGCTGCAGGCTCTGCTCTGTTGGGGACTGGGACGGGGACAAGGGTGGGGAGGGACAGCAGGAGCTTTCGCACACTCCTCATCCCCTGGGCTGGGGAAGGGGCAGAGGGCAGGGAGGGGTGCACTGCGTGATAGCCACGGCCCCAAACCATCCTGGGGTGTCCTGGCCCTGCTGAGTGGCAGCCCTGGGCCCTTGGGGGCTCCCATCACCCTCATCCTCTCACCCTCCTCTTCACCAGCTCTTGGTGGGAGTACACAGATCCAGAGGCAGACTCCTCCCGCTGTGACCCTATCCCTGTCTGTCCCTGCAGAGCTGAGGCCAGGCTGAGCTACCAAGCCCAGGTCTGTCCTGCCATCGTGCTGGGGCTGGGCCGGGGGACGCAGACACACAGCCTTGGTGCGGCATGACCCACGGACGCACGCCAGCCGCAGCGAGGGTGACCGTGGGCTCCTCCATGTCTCCCAGCCCAAGGTGCAGTGCTGCATCTCTGGTCAATTGGGAGTCTGAGATGAAGCACTGTAGCTCGGGAAGGGAGGAACTGCGCACCCTGGGGACCCCTGGGGACCCCCACCCACTGGAACGAGTGACGCAAGGGGAGCTGACCCCTGGCTACGGGGAAGGGCTCACCCCAAAGCTCCAGATTCCTGCAGAGAGCAAGGGGGTAGAGGAGGGTGGGAAGGTTTCTCCTTGCAGCAGAGGGACCCCTGTGTCTCCTTGGGACCCCCTGCCTGGTGCTGGGAGCACAGACATGTGGGAGCTTTGTGCAGTGGGGGGACAGCAGGGATGCGGCAGCAGCACCCCCCAGCAGCCACACATGGAGCCCAGCCAGCAGCGAGGACACGCGGGGCTGGCAGAGAGCCCGGGTCGCCGTGCCCTCAGGGTCCAGTTTTCCCAGGAATCCCTTAGGCGCTACGTTGGGGATTCCTGGAAATACTGTTCTTGGGGCCACGGCTCAGCGGCTGGAGACGGCCCATCCCGTGGGGAGCCACAGCCTGTGGAAGAGCCAGCGACCGAGGTACGGGGCCATTGCGGGGGCTGCAAGTGGGAGGGGGAGCCCCCTGGCTAACCCCAAACATGGGGAGGTGGGCAACCCAGCCCAGGCAGCCTCAACTGCCCCACGCCGGGGGGTGATGGATGTCCCCATGGGTCACCACTGATCACAAGAGGATGTGGCTGATGGGCAGGCGGCCTTGCACAACATCCCGCGCCGCACGTGCCACCCTGGGGTCAATAAAGGTCTCGACTCCCGAGTGACTCTGTCCTGGCCAGTCCTTTGGGGCTGGGAGCAGGGTGGGAGCCTCCGGTCTGGTGCCAGCAGTTTGGGGCAGAAAAGAGGCACAAGAGCCACCTGTGGAGCATAGCCCCGGGGGGCTGCTCTCTGCCTCTTGTGATGCCCCCCTCCCTTAACGTCCCCTTCCAAGCTTCTGGTCCTGCCGTGCACCTGCAAAGGGAACTGCTGCCCCGTCCCTGTCCCTGGGCAGCGCGAGCATCCCGGGCAGCGGCTGCTCGGCCAGGAGCTGGGATCTCTCCCTGCAGCCTCCCCGGGGAACTCACATCTGCCCCACACTAATCACATCCCTGCCGGCACCGGAGCCCCCCCGGCTTGCTGACCTGCCCTGACCCCCCGCCCGGCAGCAGCAAAGCTGGTGGGGCTGCTGCAGGTGGGTGGGGAAGGGGGGCTGCCGCCCCAAAGCCTGTTCTGCCCCGGGCCCCTGCCTGCAGACGGCAGAAGGTGGCAGGCGCAGGCAGGCGGCCGGCGGGGAGGCCAGGGCGGGCGGCAGGCGGCAGTGCTGCCCAGAGCAGAGCAGGCAGGCTGGGCTGCCCGTCCTGCCTGTTCCTGCCCACCCCTGCCCGCCCTGGAGCAGGTCCTGGAGGGGCTGGGGCTGCCTGGCACCCCCCCGGGCACCCTCCCCCCACGCAGCAGCACAGCTGTCCTCACGTCACCGGAGAAGCAGCCGGTGTCCCCTCCTTCCCCACGCACCGGTGTTTCTGTGCGTGTCCCCCGCCTCCAGCTCATCCCCTGCCTGCCGTGATGCGGGAGATTCAGAGCATGTCCCGGGTGGGTGCCGCAGGGACAGGGACCCCAGCTGCCCCCTTTCTGGTTGCTGTTCAGGCTGAGCAGTGGATGTAAGAACACTGTGGGACGAGGGGCAGCACTGGGTGCCAGGGGACACCGTGGGGTGGCTGGGCTGGTCCCCATCTCCCGGCTAGAATAAGCAAGAGGCCCTAACGCTCCAGCCACCCCCACCCCCAAACACGGCCAGACCCATCCACCCGCCAGACGAACAGACACCCCCGTCAGCGGCAGGTCCCCGGGGACAGCCACATGACGCTGGCGCAGCCCTCGCGCCGTGGCGCACCCCACACGTCACGCAGCCCTGTTCCCAGCCGGCCCGTTCCTGGCTCCCCGGCCTGTTCCGAACCGCCACAGGGCCAACCGCCTCCACCCCCGTCCCGCTGACTCAGCGGGGCGCAGCCGGCAGCACCCTGCCCACCCCAGTGGGGCTGGCTGCTGACGCAGGGCCCCGCGTTACCCGCGCTCCCTGTGCCCAGCACCTCCCCGTGGGCACCCTCCCACGCGTGCCTGCAGCCCCCCCCGCCCCCCTGGCTGGCAGGGAAGAGCTGGGCAAAGCACGCCTGCCTGCAGCTGGTGCTGCCTGCGGGGCTCGCTGCCCGCTCCGCCGGCACCCAGAGGCTGGCAGCCCGTTTGGGGAGCTGGGAGGGGCACCGGGCTGCTGCCGTTTGGTTTCCAGAGGCTCCCACTGGAATTTGGGGTGGCTGGGATGGGCAAGTGGATGGGACGGGCCTGGGAGAGCAAGGAGATCCCACCTGGAGAGGACACCCCAAAAGCCAGCTGGGAGAGGGCAGGGATGGGGAAAGTCCTTCCCTGTCCCACATGAGGAGGAAAAGTGGAAACCAAAACCTCTCTGGAGATGACAAACCAAAAGCCAAACCCAACTTCCCCCCCCGCCCCCCACGACAGCACTGTTTGCTTGCCATGGCTCCAACTGCTCCGTTTCAATCCTTTCCAAGCAGTTTGTTTTGATTTTGGTTGGGGGTGGGGTGGGGGTGGGGTGGGGGGAAGTTACAGGACATGCTGGTGCAGGATGGAAAGCCATGTCTCTCTCTCACACACCCAAATTAAAAAAATACAGCACTTAGTTCAGGAAATGCCAGCTCAGAGAGCTTTGATTGTTTCCTTCTTTCTCTTTCCTACTTTTTTTCAGCCAGAAAATTTATCAAGGCTGACCCTGTCCTTGAGAGAGATTTAGGTTTGGCAATTTCTGGCCAAAAAAACCCTTTAATTGAAGAATTCCTGACTTGCTCCCAGCTTGCCCGTGAACCAGCTGCGCCAGCCACTGCGGGAAAGCACCAGTCTCCTCCTTGTCACTGGAGCAGGGCTGGGGCTCGGCTCCCCACTTCTCACTACCAGCTTCCAGCCGGGTGGTTGCAGAGAGCAGAGACCCTGCACTCGGCAAACGTCCCCCTCGGGACTCACCGAGTGCCCCCCACAGCCCGAGGACATGGTTACCAGTCGCTCCAGCAGCTCCGGGCACAAAGCCTGGAGCACTGACCCATCTACCTGACAGGGCAACCGAGGCACATCTGCCTGCCCCTCGCCTCGAGAACAGCACAGCCAGGGCTTTGCTGCCCACCCCAGGGTGGCCAGGGGGAGGGAGGATGGCTGGGGAGAGGATGGCCGGGCCGCATGGGATGGGGGAGAAACTCCTTGTCCCTCCACGAGGCTCAGCCGGGGCCTTTGGGCAGCACCGGGGTTTGCAGAGCTGGTGTGGGGCAGCGCTGGAACCCAGGGCTGGGCTGGGGTGGGCAGCCACGCCGCTGTGCGCCCAGGACAACAAGGGGAGTCAAACCGCCCCGGGCAAGATGCCACCTTGGCATCGGTCAGAGGCGTTGCACGCTCCCTGCCTCAGTTTCCCCACTGGTGAGATGGCATTGGCACGGCACCACTGGGGAGTGCTCAGACGCTCAGCACAGCTCAGCCTTCGCCGGCTCAGCACTACCCAAGCCTGCCATGCCGGGAAGAGTGCTGCCCTGAGCCAGCCGGCACAGCCGGCACCCCCTGGGAGCAGCACCCGCTGGCACAGCCCGGGCACGGAGAAAGGAGCTGGGGCACAGCAGCAGTGGCAGAGCAGGGCCGCTTCCCTTGGGCTCAGGCAGACATGCTCATTCCTCTCTTATTCCTGGCAGGATGAGCCCTCCCCATGTTCCCTGCTCTCTGGAAAGCGCCCAGGAAGGGAGGCCGAGCTGCCACACTCCCTTTTTTGGGCAGTTTTTCCCCCTCCACACCCCCCAAGAGTCCTGCACAGTTATTGTCTTTGCAGAAACTCAGCAGCTATAAATCCTCCTCTCCCCATAGGGACTGCCCGCTCATGATTCCCTGCCTCCTCTCCATCTCCTCCCAGAGCTGTGTACAGTGTGTCACATCCCTCCAAAAACATATCGGGGGGCCCTTACTGCCTGGCTAGAGAGAAGCAGCACCATTCTGGGAGCCAAACCCCAGCGCCCACAGCCATCCCTGCCCCTGTGCAGGTAGGCTTGTCCCCACGGGTGCCCAGGGGGGAGGTGGGCAGGCAGGAGGGTCCTATGGGTGTCCCACCAGGCCACTGAGCTGGGGGCAGGACAGGGCTGGTCACCCTCACTCCTAGAGGCCATTGAAGCAATGAGCCCTGATAAGCTGGGGTGGCCAAAACAAATGAATTGGGGAAGGGGTAAAACCTGGTCCTAACCTGCTGGGGTACGGTGCCAGCTCCCCCGTGACCCACCATCAGCTGGGGGAATCACAGCCGAGTGTCTCAGCGCTTCCCTAACGGGCAGCAGCAATCGGCTTAAAGCTAATCCTCATGTCCTGTGCTGGCCTCGGGCACAGGGCCCCCGCGGGGGCCGGGTGATGCCACCCACTGCCAGGTCCTGAAGGGAAACAGGGTGATTTTAAGCAAGGAGGTGGTGGGTCCTTGGACGGCCACTGGTATTCACATGCCTGTATCCCATGGGCTGTCACTGGCACCCACAGCAGGGCATCCCATTGCCCTTCTCCAAGCTCCCAGGGGCTGGTACAGCACGAACATGCCCTGGTTCTGGCCTTGAGTGCCCAGTGCACTCAGCACCCTTGCAGCACTGTACCACCATGCTTCAGCTCTTGGCCCCAAGATGGTTTGGAGTACCCCTGTTTATCTTCTGCCATGGTCAAGACACCCCTGAGCCTGGGAAATGCTCAAGGGATTAGGGTTTTTTGCATATGTATATTTTCAAAGAGCTCAGCAAGGCTGGGATGAGAGGCAAAGGTGCGTGCGCACGCGCACACACGCACATTCACCCAGAGGGAAGCAGATGAGCTGCGGAGCCCATCTGCACCCCTGGGGGCCTTCCCATGCACCCCTGATCCTGCCTGCTCTGCTCCAGGGGCCCTCCTCGGCGCATCCCCCTGTCCCACACCAGCCACCTTCCCTGAGGGCCACATGCCCGAGCCCCTCAGCTCCCCAGAGCTATGCTGGAAACACTGTGATGTGGGTTTGGGCAGCTCCATCCAGGCAGGATCCTGGGGGGGCTCAGAGCATTCCAGGTCCCCCAGCTCAGTGGCTGTGCCTGCAAACCCAGCCCCGGCAGGGCTGAGCCGCTCTCGTTGCTGCAGCAGGACTAGATTAGCGTGTGCGTGGGAAGCTGGAGGGGGAGGGGGCAGGCACGGCCCCCCGAGGAGTCCAGGCGTGCAGGAGTCACAGAGGAGGGTGCAAACGTGGGGGTGGCTGCCAGCCCATGCGCAGGGCTCGGGGGCGCCGGTGCTTCTGCCGGGCGAAGGGCTCAGCCTCCCCAGCCCCTGCAGCCACCCCGGCTGCCAGCCTGGGCTTGCAGCCACCCACCCTGCTGAGTCAGCACCCAGGAAGGTCACGTCGGCAGCAGGCGCTTGCCAGGCCTGCCCGGCGCGCCCGAACGCCCGCGGTGCCAAACCCGGCGGGGCAGGAGCTCAGCAGCCCTGTCCCGGTTCGGTGAAGCACAGGGAGGCAGGGCGCTGCCAGCACCCGCGCACCCCTGCTCAGCCCCGGCAGCACGAGGGGTGTCGGTGGGAACCCCCCGTGGCACAGCCCTGCCAGCCCGGGGAGCAGACCCGCGGGCACCCAGAGCCCAGCCCGTCCCTGGGGCCGGAGGCACGGCTGTGCACGCTCCCCCCAGACCGACGCGCTGCCCAGAGCCCCTCTGCCAGCAGCTCCCAGCCCTCCCGCCCCGGCGAGCCGGC